GAGAAGCGCAGAAGAGGAGGTGCAGGAAGGCGGGAACGGCACCTGTGTGTGACCCGCAGCTCGGCGGCACTGCTGCTCCCTCTGACAGCTGCCACCGCCCCACGGGGAGGCGGGTCCGGGCACAAATTGCTACAAGGAAAAGTCACCACGGCCGAAAATCAGGGGTTTTTCCTAAAAGAAAGAAAAAATAACACAGGCTACAGGGTTTTAAATTGCTCCCCAGTGACAGGGGCAAATATGAAGGCAGACGATGGGAGACAGGCGAGTCCCCACAAGGCAGGGTGCGAGGGGACACATCCAGTGTTCCTTCCATCTCCGATTCCTTTTCGCACCAAGAGGGTTTACAGGATCTCAGGGAAAAGGGACAGCCACGGGCCAGGCTAGCACAGCTGGTGGCCCAGCCTGCAAGCTGGCACTGCTGCAGTAATGTGTTCAGGGGTCATGGTGCTGCTTATCCTAAAATGGTAATTGCTGTTGTTCTTAAAAAAGGGTTAACAGCCCTTGTCTGTTCAGTTATCACACATATAACGCTAGAAGACATCATGCACACAGTTTCAAACACGATGGTTCAGTATGTCACATTTACTTAGTTTTAAGTTTTTAAAGTTTAAAAAGTTATACAGTTATAAACAAGCATTTCTGCCATTCAGCTTTATCAGAAGAAATCAACATAGGAAGTAGGCACATCTTCTTTAAAGAATAAGACTTCATATCTTACAAGGGTAATCAACCGGTAAAATAAAATTTATTTCCAAGTTTGTATTAAACACTCAAGACAAACATGAAAATTTTTTTTTTAAATATTGCACCACCAAGATGAATTTTTATCCATTACCCAGTGAGTTATGTTGCACATGGACAATCAGGTTCATCCATGTTTTTGAAAAAATTACAATACAAAGGTGAGATAATTCAATGTACTCCAACAGGAGCAAGCTTGGGAATACAGGGTAACATACTTGACCAAGTTGTGTATTTGCATAAACTGCCTCCTTGCAAGCCTGGCAGCTTTCTTAGGGAAGTTTTGCTTCACAGCCTATTGGCAGATACTAGTGCAGTGCTAAAAAGAGGTCTGCAAAATCAATAGGAACATGTGAAGAAAGCCATTTCAACAGCAAGATCTACAAAGCATAGAGAAGTCAGGCAACAGACAACTGTTCTGGGTTCAGCTAGGTTGTCAGTCCTCCTTTCTCCTGGCCCCACCCCATATAAAAATCTCAGTTCAATCAGAAAACTTTTGGCCATCAAAACTGATTTATCATACCAATAACATTTTCTTTATTTAAAACTGCACATAGAGTACACTTCTGCCAGAAACTTACTTTAACCCCCACATACAAAGTAAAAATCATGGCTGCCTTAATGCACAAGAGCGCCAAAAAAGTATATAAAAATTAGTATCTATTTGCACCTTGACACCTTGCATTTGTGATCAGCATTACCAGTTTGCAAAACAGGAGCAGATACCATTTATAAATATTTAGTTTAACATACGCAAAAGTGATCCCAATCCAATTCCAAATGAGGAATTACTACAATTAAAAAACCTGTGCGTTCTTTGTATTTGTACAAGTGCAATATTTAACAAATTCAAAATAAAAGGCTAACAAAAATAAACATTTATTCAATACATCAGAAACAATTCTTACAAGACTAAGAATAGGACTTTAAAAGTATATTTTTCAGCTGGTCCCACGTATTGACATCTCAATCTTGGGAGTTTAAACCCAAAACTTTATCTAAGGAAAATTTTCTGCTTTGAGATACAGTTACACAACCTTGCATTGCTGGGACCGTCTGTGACATTTGAGGATAAAGTACGGAAGTTGTAACTTGTACCTACATACTAGTCAGACCACACAACTGCCCTGTTCAGAACACAGTAACAGCAGTTCCAGGGCTTAAAGCAGCTTTATGTTTCTTCAGATTCTGTGCATGTTCGTAACAGACTAATTTCTGGACTGAATGAAGCCAGCTGGCCTGGATTAAACTGTTCTTCTATCTGTAGCTAGCAGTTTTCTGTGGATAAAATCTCAGTCATTGGCAAGAATCCCCATCCATTTTTACAGTCCAGGCTTCACTGTTCATAGTAATGCCTTCCTTTCCAGTCTCTCACTGGGAGAGCAACCTTTGACAACAAGTAGGTCATGAAATTTATTTTGAAGAGAACATTAATCGTTCAATGCAAAACTAAACATGTTATGACATACAGTTTACTGTTTATGTTGATTAGTGCTAGATGAAAATGGAACTGTGGTTAATTATATCCAATTTTAAAAGATTAAATGTTTTTGTGCAAGTACTATATGTTAAAATCACAGCTAAGGTTCAACTTTCTTCCTGAAACATTGCAAAAAACAAATGCAGAAGGATTTATGTTATTGGTAGCTGCAATCTACCATTGAAAATTTTGAATATTAGCACTCAAGTTGTCATGATCTGTTTTCAATGTTCAACTGAGAAGCTGGACTATTTAATTTCACAATTAATTTAAATAACAAAATTTGCTATAAAGGTGGCTTGGGAAAACCTAACCTATATATGTAGTTTCAACTGCAAAGTGAATTCTATACAGTATATGCTAAGTTAACATGATAGACAGCTGTATCAAAATATTAACATATTTTAAGAAACTGTCGATTTCAGATTCTGGAATAGCATGCATCAGTCCTTAAGGCTGTGCTCTCAACTACCTGGACACGTTTCTAAGGAAAAGGATTCTCAGCCTGCAGCCGCAGGGGGGAGCTGCGGTGCTGCTACCACACTAAGGTATACGCACAGATGAGGGGCTTGCTGATGGTTCTCCTTCACGGAACCAACCACCTTCTTTTTTTAGCCCATGGGGTGCCAAGTCTTCTCAAATTTAAGTCTCTCGCTATTGCTGTGGAGTCAACTGTTCTACTTGCAGCACACAGAATTTCACCCTTAGTGCATTACAGAGCACCCACATGCATTTCCAACTGGTTGGATTTGCATTAATTTAATCAAATTTATCAGTTGTTAAAAAGTAGTACATTGTAACGCATTAAACTACGTTTTATCATTTATTGTCAAAGAAGGGGAAAGAAACAGAGCAGTTTTAACACATTACTGTTAGAAGATGTTGATAGTTCTGACCAATGGAGGCACAACTGTAGATGGTGACCAACAAGTCATACTTAGGTCACTTAAATAGTAAGTGTATATTTACTTGCAATGCATGAGATCTACGTTATTACCAGTGGAAACACAAGAAGGTCTGTCTAACTTAAATGTTATACGCAGGCTAACGAATGTAAAATGCAGGCACTCAATATAAAATGTTATTAACACTGCCCCAAAGGCATAGGATTTCCTCTACTTGTATTACTGTATTGGACAGCTGACAATCAAAATTCACCCCAGCTTCAAAATAAAATAGTTTAACTGCCCTTAATAATTTCTAAATCCCCGTGCAAACTGCATTCAGTGGCTAGCTTTTTCAGCGCCTTAGTTAATTTAATTTGATTATAACTGGAAGCATCTGACTATGATTTAGGCATGCTTATTGCTGTAAAAGAAATAAGCCCATCTTTAACATTATTGTGCAAGTATTTTAATAAGATTTGCGCACATCTCAAAAAATTCTATTGTATGGCTCCCTGGTCTGGGAGTTAAGTCAGCTGTAGAAGAGTCAAGTGAAGAGCTCACTGATGAGGTAAGGGATGTATCTGCAGATTTTCCTTGTGCATCAGCATCTGAATCTTTTTGACTGGATCTGTAGTTGCTTACAGAACCTGATCTCTGTGGAGTTGCAGTCCCAGACTTTGCTTCAGTAATTTCATCTGGGGGGCAAAGAGGGAGAGGAAGAAAATTACTTACCAGTATCAAATCAGTTATAGGAACAGCAAACATCTTCCCCTTATCACACTTCTAGATCTTGGGTTTTTAAATCTTAATACATAAACAGCTTTTACAAACTGTATATAGTTGACACAAAATAAAAGCTTATGTGTATAGTAACACAGAAGCAAATGTCCTTATGGAAAGTATTCCTGTGCTCTGAACTGTGCTCCAGAACCATTTACATCTAGTTTAGACTAGCACTCACTATATTTTGCATGAACTAATTTCAGTAGCTAGGAGTTCAATTTAGTTTACTTAAGCTTAAAACAAAACCACGATCATAAGGTCACGGCCAATAACAGTTCAAAACATTTTGTGGATGCTTTTTGCTAGCAACTACCTTATTTTTATTTTTATTTTACTTAATAATAGTTACTATTTGTATTTTTATTAGAATTCAGTGATACATTAATTGCTAGCATCTACATGAATTTATCCTTCACTTTTGGAAATTTTTTCCCTTAATATGTTGTACATTTGGGCTGCATCAGCTCAAGCTTACTTCTAAAATGGAAGTATTTCCTTCTCATACTGAACATAGTGTTCTGCTGAAGTATCTCTATTCTTACTTTAAGTACTGAACATTGTTTGACTCACACCTGGCACCAGAAAAATTATTTTCAGCAGAAATTAGTGAACACAGGAGAGACTGCCTCTTCACATCAAAGCTACTTTAAACTCCAGTTTGGTAAGAGGAATAGAAAATAATTAGCTATGGCAGAGGGAAAGGAAAGTCAGATCAGCTTGACTATTGACAGAGAAATGGCAAATCCACACCCTTGGATTATATCTGACGGCAGGACTGCAGCAGGCTGGCCCCGCAAGCTGCATGGTTCTAAGCAGTCATCTCCACCCCAACAGGGAGGGCACTGACCCACTGCAGTAGGTCAGTACAGGAAAGTGATTAGTCCCCTGTATCAAGTACCACTTCACTGAAGCAAGCACCTGTGGTGTTGGAATGAACAAGACAAGGACTGTACTGCCAAGTCAGATCAGATTAAACTGTCATGAGACACAGCCTTAGCCACCCTATACTGTAATCCAGCCACACTCCAGTAAATCCTTTTTCCATGACATATTTTCCCGTAGGCATGTCATCTATGCCACTGGCTGTAGGTAATGCTCCTTTAGTCTACTGTGCCCATCAACAAGCATTATGGCCAGTCTCTATCAGCTCCTCCATCCACTTTCAAGAAGATATCCAGCTGGGATTTGTACACTGTGTTACTGTCACTCTAAAAACCAGATCTTTCTACAGGTTAGACCAACTGCTTTCAAGACTTTGGTTACTGTATACCAATACTGTCCTGGGTTAAGCTGAGACAGGGTTAACTCTCTTCATAATAACTAGCAAGAGGCTGTGTTTTGCATTTGTACTCAGAAGAAAGCTGATAAGTGATGTCTACCCGCTGCCAAGGACAGCAGACCGGAGAAGATGAGAGGGAGCACAGCCCCAGTTACTAGCCTAGGATTTGATCTTAGGTTCAGGATTGAGACCCAGAGTGGCCAATAATCTATTCCACAACATACACGTCATGCCCAGTATATAGGTGAGGACCCTCCGGAAGATCGCCCCTTTTGGTTCCAGATCATCTCGGTCCAGGTGGTCGCTCTCCCAAGGCCTTGCCCCCCCACACCCCAGTCAGTTCTCGGTCTGGGACGCTCGGACTGTTATCTCTGTTCCATGAGTGCGGTTTCGGGACTCTCCCAGCTCCAGGATCATTAGCCAGGAACAGGCTGAGCCTTGGTCATCAGGTGGTGGCGCAGTATCACTGTGTATCACTCATTTGTATATAGTATTATTTTCAATATTATTGTAGTTTAGTTATTAAATTGTCCTTATCTCAGCCCACGAGTCCTTTTTTCCCCTTAACCCCTTTAATACTCTCCCCTATCCTTGGGTGGGGGGGGGGAGAATTGCGTGAGTGGGTGTGTGTGGTTTGGCCCCCAGCCAAGGGCTAACCCATCACAAATACCTAACTCAAATTTTGTCTACTGCTGGCATTGGTGCGTTGACTCTGCGCGGCAGCTAATTCTTCAGCGCAACAGCGAAGAGAGTTGGAAGGGCAAAGGGATAAAACTCTTGGGTATAGATATATGTAGTTCAATAAGAGGAAGAAAAAAAAGAAGAAAAAATAATGCAAAGGAAACCACTTGCCACGTCTCCAAAGCAGACTGATGTGCAGCCAGCCTCAGAGGCACCTTCTCCCAACCCGCATCCCCTCAGTGTCTTTCATAAGTGTAACATCATACAGCATGGAATATTCCTTTGTCAGTCTGGCTCAGCTCTCCAGGTTGTGTCCCCTCCCAACTCCTTACTCACCCTCGGCCTACTCGTTGGGTGAGACTGCAGAGGGAAGACAGACTAGATACTATGCAAGTACTGATCAACAGTGTTTTAGTCACAGATCCAGAATGCAGTACTATATAGGATATGAAGAAAACTCCATCTCAGCCAGACCCAGTACAGCCATGTACAGTCCAAGTCAAATTTAAATGCCTAGATGCCAAGCTTTATCTTCACTAGGAAATGTTATTCACATGCTTACTTCAGATCTAAATTAATTTTGGGGGGTGAGGCTCCAAAGGCAGTTTAGGTTGATCCACATCTCACCTCTCACAGCCCTGTTCCCTTTTGCACTAGTGGTATTAGAGCTGGTGCAGACACAAAATGGAGCAGTTCATGAGCTGATCTAGCTAAAAAGCTATTATTTAAGGGATGAAGCACCTAATCTCAAGAACAATAGACTAGGAAGAAATAAAGAAACACTAATACAGATCTAGATTGGCTTAAACTAATAAAGAGCAATGCTTACTTCAGTTCTAACCAAGTAAATTAAGACATTTGCATTTAGAATTATTTACCATACAACTCCATTAACTTAATTAAGTCTTCACATACCATCAATGCTACGAAAATCCAGTAAGTATGTTCTGCTGTCCACCTGATACAACTGTAGACTCATTTTGGAATATGCACTTGTTACTGGATTCTTCCTTCGAACACGTAGATAATATGGATTTACAACCTAGTACAAAAGAGATTCAAATTAGTTACCAGAACTGCTTAAGCAGCAGTGTTGTTTTTGTCATTTCAACTCTCTGGTATTGACTTCAACCTCACCTGTTGGAATTTTGGGGTTTTTTTTTAGCCAAGAAAAAAACATTCCTACAGTCCCAATAGAAAAGTTAGACAAGTTAGCAAGACTTTTTTTTTTCCTGTCAGCATGAATAGCCTCCCCAAAAACCCTTCCTGCACAGCATGCACAAGCAGTCAGCCACAGGCACATGAGATTATTTTCCAGCATGGAAGAATGTAGTTTCAGCCTTCAGGCCTAAGTAACTACACAGCTCAAACAAAAATTTACTGTTGTCTGCTGTAAAGACCCTTTATTCTTTTACCTTCCATTCATAATCCAGTTGTTTAATTGCTCGACAAACTTCAGCCATGATATCATTGGGTCGACTCTGACTCCGTATTCCCAAGTGCCACTTAGCTCTTCTTACACCTTGGTGTTTTGACTTCTGTGGATTCAGCTCATCAAGAGTATGGCGAGGACGTGGTGCTTCAGCTACTAAAAATGGCACTCTCTCAGGATGAGGGCGAGACAGATGGTGATCATCGAGAAAAGAATCTGGTGGGCTTGTAGCCAAGTAGAAGTCTTTGGCCTCATTCATTATTCTTCTGTTATCTATGATGAGGTGATAAGCAACTGCTAAAGGGTCCTGATGATTTCGGCTGTATAGACAACTTAGCACTTCCTCTTCAGTGCATTCAAACTTCTCACACACTTCTTTTAAGGCTTCATCATCAATCATGGTAGAGCTATAGGAAGGGTCTTCAGGAAATAAGTATTTTGGAAGGTCCTGCTTAAACCATTCATGTTCCCTAGATTAAAAAATTTAAAATGTCTGAGTATATGTATGTAAAGCAAACCTTTTAAATATCATATTATTTGAAAATAAAATTATTCTTAGTCTGTACAAAAAGAATCACAGTTGTGAGTCCAAGTTTCCTTCTATGAAGCATAGACAACAAAATAGATATAAAGGAAAGTAATCACTGCATTCACAAGATTTTGCTAGACATTTTGCAGGAGACTGAAAAAAATAATTTCCTGTAAGTTTTTCCAACTACCTGAGCTCCAAAAATATATTTGTATAACTCAACAACCAGCCTTTTTACTGCCACTATGTTAGTTCTGAGATACTTTCAACTGAAATTCTTATACTACCCACTTGAGTTGTCCCTCTCTAAGTAAACACATAACAATACGTAACACAATTAAGAAATGTTGATGATGAATGATTTTTTGGTAGATGTTTGGACGTGGATTTTTGAACACTGAAGTCACATGCTCCCAACCCTAAACAAGCTGCCTATCAATTCTTTTTCATTCAGAACACCCCCATCTGTCTCTTTAATAAAGACTCAAAAGGATTAAGGGAAGCTACGGAAGGATCAATCTGTGCCTCTTTAGTACTGTACCAATGGGCTGGTATTTGTAAGAGGGAAAAGGAAAGATATGGAAGGAAACATACTTACATTGCCCAGTCATAAATAAAAATAAGATTGTTTTGTATGCGTAGAGTAAACTGCTTAACTAGCCAAAGGGTATGGCATGACACTGATTTTGAAAGTATTCTAGCCTATGGCGTGAAGACTTCCTACACATTTAAGAGCAGTTATATGCATGTTGTGGTTTAAACCCAGGCAGCAACTAAGCACCACACAGCCAGTCACTCACTCCCACCCCAGTGGAATGGCAGGACAAATCAGAAGGGTAAAAGTGAGAAAGAATTTGGGGATTTCTCTGCAGCCAAGGTGCAGGCCTGTACAGAGGAAGCAAGATTCTCTTCTATTTCTCAGAGCTGGCAGGCCAATTCATCCACAGTTAGTTCCTCCATGTCAGTCCAGCTCATTATCAACAGGGTGTTGGCATATGGCATTGGTGCACTTTGTACAAAGTTTTGCCACGTGGACTGCATGCATAAGATTTCATCCAGGTCTTTGGATACCTTGTTATCCAGATTGCTATAGATCACCTCCACCATGGCTAACTCCCTCAGATGCTGGATACCTCCCTCAATAGTGGTCCATTTGCTTATGGAATTTTCAAGATCTTCCTTGAAGGGACACCTGTCCTTCATACTCAAATATGAATTGCCTCCAGGAACTGAGGACTCCTACCCTTTTACAATCCCTTTGTCAATGGCCTTATCCCTAGCAAAGGATCCCAGCTGCTGGCTTCCTTATCCTCTAATTCCTGACTATTGGCCCCAATATCCCAGCATTGGAGTAACCAGCTGAGAATTTGCTCGCCTGCTTGACAGCTGAAATCTTTTCACATATCTCACAGCTCACATAGTACTTCCCACTGCAATAAAGTAGCACAAGTGCACCACATTTTTGTTCTACTGAAAGAACATGAATATTGCTGACTTCCTAACTTCCAACATTAAAAGAAGCATTTTCATTAAAGCAGCATACTAGAGCTCTCTCCTTAGAGCTTCTTACAAAGGAAACAGGAAAAACCTAGGTAAGCTGATGCATGAAGTACAGCTCTATCAGCTTCTGATTTTTTTTTTTTTCATTCAATACACTGCACACTTGTCAAAGCAGTCACCTTCTCCAGAATCTCCTCTTGGAATCTGGAGCCCCTGATGGCTACCTGTACCTACAAGCTTTAAGTTAGCAGTATTCAATGCAGTAATAATCACTCATACACAAATTCATGCCAGGGGTTTGAAGCTAGAAAGCACCACCTTGCACGTGTAACACTCAGAGTCTTAAAATATGATTTTTCACAGTCTGAAGAAATATGAATAAAAGTAGTAGTTACCAGATTGAAGAGCCATAACATCCTCTCAGACATTTACAGTACAGAATAGTTGTTCTTAACAGCAGACTTTTTTTGCCCAGAGAAGTCAATACAGTGTAGTTTTTGCAAACCATTTTGTGGGTAAACAGCTTTGCTATAGCAGTCTTAAACCTAGAGTTTATCAGAATTTCTATATGTAATGTATGTAATTTGTTTTACTGTGACCTCCAGTAGACACTTCATTGGCTACTGGAGATGTGAACCATCAGAGCTAAAACCAGACCACTGGAAGCTGAATTCTTAATCTCAGTCTACAAAGCACAGATAAACTGTGTTAATTATTTCTTTGTTCCGTGTATTTGCACTGAGATTATCATTCCAGTATCCTGTGATCAGGCATCAGTTAGTGTCTTACCTAATGTCTCTGATTGTTGCTCTCTTCATTGGATCCACTTGCAGCATGTGCTTCAGAAGACTAATTACAGATGGATTGAGGTACTGAGGGGTATAAAAGATACCATCACATATCTTCTTAAAAAGGGTTGGCACGTGATCATCATCAAATGGAAGCGTTCCACATAACAAAGCATAGAGAATAACCCCACTGCTCCAAATATCTACTTCTGGACCTGCGTATAATCTGGGAAAAAGTTAACTATTAGTGATTTGGGTTTAAAATATTTAAAGACATTTTTTCATCTACTTTCTTACATTCTATCACAGTAATTAAAAGCATATGAACTTGGGAGAACTGTTCTGCAAGTATTATACCATTTCAGTTCCACACCATGCCTCTCCTTCAGACACGTAAAAGGGCACAAGTAACATAATTTTCCTCTCTATTGTATAACAATAATCCACAATGCCATTTAAGACAGGGGCAAACTGAAAAAAAACTTGCACCTACTACTAAGAAAACTCATGTTATACATTGTATTACTCTTTCAGTGGAATCTGTGCAGTCATCTATCCCCCAATTCTGGAAGCTGAAAAGTTTAAGACAAGTCCATATAGCAGAACTTGTCTTGTATACTGTACGACTGCCCAACTAAAACAGACTTTTGGCCTCCAATCAGAAAGAGTCAGTATTAGCGTAGGTAGCTGAAATCAGCATATTTGACAATCACCGAATTCAAAAACAGGAAAATTACCTTCAGACTGAGTATCTAATCTGCAGCAGATATTTCACTGCTACTCAACTCCACAGCAGACTTTGCCTTTAATTCTATCCATACCTCTACTTCCAACATCTGAGCTGTAAGTGAGATTTTAAAACCAATTCAGGCACACTGTACACATTGGATTTAGGGCATTAGACATCACTTCCACCTTACAGGAACTATTCAAAGCTACTTCACAGAAGCCTTAAATACTCATGAAAAATTATCAAGACAATTAAAAGTTCAGCCCACGGTTTCTCAGCATCAAGCTTGTCAGTGGAACTAGTTTTGTAACCTTTAGAATCAAGCAGCAAAATTACTGAAGTACATGCACACATGTAACCAATATAAAAGAAAATACCTTCCTGAAATTACTTCTGGTGCAGCATAGTTAGGGGAACCACAGCTTGTTCTTAAAAATTCTCCATCTGACATCATATTTGATAGACCTGGAAGTGTATAAAAGTAACTACTATTCAGAGAGCAAAATTATTTCACACTGCATATGCCACCTAGAAGAAATCACTAGTAACTTAAATTAAAAAATTAAATTTAATCTCAGTAAAGAAGTAACATTTGTATGAACATGCCACATAACCCTCCCGTTAGTTTACAAGAAATGTGAGTAACATCAATCCATTATTTCACACAACCTGGAAATATTGGAGAACATAGTCATTTCAAGACAAAACCCAGTCCAATTGGGATGACACAGACGTGACAGAGAACAAAGTTGCTCTAAAGGAGATGGAGCAGCATAGCAAGATAGGCTTTTGCTCATTAATAAGAAAGTCTTTGTCGTGGTTTAAGCACAGACTGC